CGGGGGCGGAGGGGGCGGAGCCTGCAGATCGCCAGAGCTGTATAAACTCCCAGAGTCCAGGACATCCTGGTCATCCTCGTCTCCCAGATCGGTGAAGTCGATGTCGCCGATGCGCAGATCCCGCGGACTTGCCATCAGCTGGTCCCAGATGGATTCCGACTCCTTCTTCGGAGGCGGCAGCGGAGGAGGAGGTTCCTGCGTTTCTATTGGTGGAGAGGTGAGACCCTTCACTATGTCACCGAAGCGCTCTGCGAACGCCCGCACGTTGCTCTGGTTCTCCACTTTCTTGTCTCCTTCACTCTTAGCGGCGTTCCCTTCCCGTGGCGTCACGTCCTGAGATGAATCCTCAGCCTTTTCTTTTGCATCTCGCTCTTTGTCCTCGGCCAGCTCGTCTTCGTCCTCGTCTTCCTCCGAGGGTTTTTTGTTCTGCGAGTAGAGCATGTCCAGCATGAAGAGTTTGCTGTTGAGGATCTTGTTTCGTTGTTCGTTGCTGACGCTCTGAGCTGACCACTGACCTGCAGCAAACACACAGAAAGAAGGACCTCACATACACTAGTTACTAGTTTACCAATGGTTAGGCCCCCTGATTTGTTAAATATGTATATATATATATATATAAAATGTCTATTTATATTAAAGGGATAGTTCACCCAAAAATGGATGGGTGCAATTTTTTCGACTTAAAATTTTGGGCTACCATCCACTGCCATTATAAAGCATGGATTAGCCTGGACATTATTTAATATAACTCTGATTGTATTCGTCTGAAAGAAGAATATCATATACACCTAGGATGGCTTGAGGGTGAGTAAATCATGGGGTAATTTTCATTTTTGGGTGAACTATCCCTTTAATACATATATTATGTATTACATTACATTTAATAATACTCCATTTTATTAAAATTAACTTTAAATTTTAGTTCAGCTTTAGATGTACCAGTATTTATAGTTTAGCATTTTCAAATGTGTTTTTATTTTAATATTTCAGAATTTTTTTACATTTAATTTGACATCAGTTATATAATTTATAATAATTCATATAATTTAATTATTAAATTAAATATCAATCGACTAAAATATTTAATCGCGATTAATCGCACGATTGTCATGAGTTAACTCGTGATTAATCGCAACTTAATCGCACATTTTATCTGTTCTAAACGAACCTAAAATTTATACGTTTCAAGTTTTTAATACTCTAATCAACATGGGCATGGACAAATATGGATGCTTTATGCAAATGTATGTTTATTATTAGTGAAACCATAGTCAACAGAGCATGAAGACTAGACATGTTTCAAAGGTCATAGATGTTTTTCAAAGAACTTGTTCATGTCTACATGAGAAAAGAACATAGAAATAGCAGGTTCCCATTACGTCTCTTTCTTTGCACTGAGCAGTTTACTTACACAAGCCTGTTTACTCTATTCGCACGACAGGGCAGCTCACTTCTTCTGAACATGCAAAATGTACATTAATTATTTATTATTACATTTGATAGCCTCTCTGTGCCTACATACTGTATTTTGATGCAGCTAAACTCTCAATAAAACTCAATAAAAATGTTACTGTTTCTGTTGTCAGACAACGGAATGAATATGAAATAGTGACTGAAATGCGACCCATTAAGACTACATAACCAGCTCTCCCTTCCATGATGTTAATCTGCACAAAAATCCTGATTTATAATCGAGCCGTCATCTGATGAAATCAAATAGGCTACGCATAAGATAAAGACAATAGCTGTGCTGTGATTTTGACTATACTTGCATGTAAAATTAGAGAAGCAACATAATATGTGTTTTAACTGAAAGCGCTGCTCCTCTGCAGCTCGCTGAACAGAGCATACCGGCGAGTCTCAGAAACTAAATAAGGTTTGGGCAAACCCTAAAGATTTGTCGCTAGGCGCTTTTCTGAAAGAAAAAAAAAAAGTCGCTAAAGGGGTCTGAAAAGTATGGAAGCCCATTTCCGCCACGGAATAAAACATAAAAGAGGTAATTGCGACTTTTTATCTCACAATTCTGACTTTTTTTTATCAGAATTGCGTGATATAAACTCGCAATTGCAAGTTAAAAAGTCATAATTGAGAGATATAAACTCGCAATTCTGAGAACATAGTCTTTTTTCCCCCCTCAAAATTGGACTTTAAATCGCAATTGCGAGTTTATATCTCACAATTCTGTGAAAAAAAGTCAGAATTGTGAGGTAAAAAGTCGCAATAACCTTTTTTTTTTTTAATTCAGTGGCGGAAACGGGCTTCCATAGAAAAGTCACTAAATCTAGCGAAAAAATTTGCTAAGTTGGCAACATCATGCATCTTCATTTCTCCAACTACAGGTTAGGCCACGGGTCAAACAGAAAATGCGCGCTGCGTTAATCGCACGTTAATAAAATTAGTGCCGTTAAAATTAATTTGCGTTAATGCGTTATTAACGCGTTAATTTTGACAGCCCTACTAATTATAATATAATATTATATAATATAACAATTAATATAACAAATTAACATATAGAATTACATATGTGTCTGTGTGTATGAATATAATACAAATAATGTATATTATGTATTATATTAAATTTCATAATATTTATTATTTTAATTTTACTTTAATATTTTGATATTTAA